TAAAGAGAGAGAGTGTTTGTAATTAATACAATTTGGTATGCAATACCAACGTCAAAATTAAAACATTTTCTTTATATACCCGTATTTCGTTTTTAGAACTCCTCAAAACTGCTTTGTCGGTTCTGCGTCACTTGTACATTTAATTACAGTTCTCAGTTACTTGTACATTTAATTGCAGTTCCTTGTTGCGACACAAACGGCTAAACGATTCATAGATTCATATCATATTATTAGTTTATGATCATATTAATTCGGAAAATCATTAGATCAAATTCAAAATGAAAACAAATGGTATTTCATATTATTTGTTGCTGATGCCTTCACACAATGAGATTGACTAAAATGAAAAATCTCATATTTTACCAAAAATAAACGTAAATAATATTGTCATTGAAATGCAAATTACGCCACTACAGTATGTAGTTAGTTTCTAGTGTAGTATTCGGTCAAGGATACTCCATCACAGTGCGCAGCGTGTTTCATGAAAGCAGTGAAGATTTTTACCCAAATGAAAGCATAGTTATCCCATCAACCACGCGGAGATATATGTTGATTACATCAGTATCCTGGCCAATCAACACAACTTGACTAGTGCCGGCGCTACATATATGTAGACCGGGCGATCGCCCGGGGACCCGCAAGTCAAGGGGCCTGAATATGGAACGGATGAGAACAAGGAATTGTTTTCGGGAGAATGATACATTTCAGCACATTTCAGGCACTGAACTTGACTGCACATTTGCATTGGGTAACTGACGTTCCGTTATGTTCGAAGTAACCACCATTCACATAACTTCACATCAGTGAGAAAGCAGCAATACTTTTCCGGGCGTTTGGTAAAACAGTTTCATTGCCACTGAAAAAGGACTTAAAAGTGAGAGCCACAACCTGCGACCTCACAAAGGCGCCAAGTGGACCAGGATCGTGACATTCCAATTTTTTCAACATATTTAGGAATAAAGCGCGATCGGTTCAAATGAAAATGCGGAAAGTTACCAAGAAATAATTGTCAATATCTCCATAACGAGGTTTCTTAAGAAAGTGTAAAGGCACATTTGTTTACTATTTTACATTATGTCGGTGTTTTTTTCGCCTCGTTGGAACATCTGTAGAATCAGTTTTTATTCTATGATATTCTTAAAATTTAAAGTTAAATTTTTGTTCTATTATCGGGACAAAATATCGAGAAAACGCGAAAATATGAACGGCTTGCGGGATTTTGCCCACTAGCGTGGCAGCACCCCAGCAAAACAATCTGTAAGTTCCACAAAAGTATGGAAGAGTAGTGCACATGAGCGTAAAAGTTTGTACGTAAGGGGTGAGGATAGAACAAGGAAGAGGAAGGAAAGACGGTGCGCAGTTCCGGGCCCGTTTGTTAATACTGCTCCGACCTTCGTCTGGTGTTGACCGGAGAAACCACGAAAAACTACCGATCAGAGCAGCGGCTGCTAGAATTCTGCGCCAGTCTGCAGCTGAATTCGTCCTAGCTACCTAGCTAGTGTCAAAAATCCTGCCACCACCGGGATTCAAACCCTAGAACCTCCCGGTCAGAGGCTCTTCAGTGATATCAGTTTATGCCCTGAGCCACCTTCGCCGGTAATAATTAATGGGAGTTGTGAAAACAAAACAGAACACAACGCACACATTTTTATTTTTGTAATATAATCATGATGTAAAAAGTGTGTATATTTTTCTAATAGTTTTGCAAATAGTCTCGATCCCGCATATCCATAAAATTCCACAAAATGTTTTTCCTAGACAAGTGTACCTTAAAGTTAATTAATTTAGAACGATAAGAATGGCAGTGCTAGGAGCTCGAGTGTCTAAACTAATTTGTTAAAAACATTGCTCCTCAGGGGCTTCATATTTCTGTTGGTCCTAACAGAGAAAATATGAAGCTTTAGCCCTGTAAGTTAACAGGAAAATTTACCTGCAAAGGATTGACTTCCAACAAACAAAAATCTGGAAAACCGGAATCCTTGAAAAATATTTGGTTTTTAATAAGTAACCTACTGCATTAAAATTAATCTATAAACATTCAAACTACATAATTTTAGGAGTATAAGATACAAGCCACACAAAATCATGTAGTAAATGAATACAAAGGTAAGTACTAATTGTTTCAAAATTCACAATGGTACAATTATATCAATAACCTAGTGGAACTAATCTGCGCATTATCAGCACTAATCATCGTATTAACTATTGCAAATTTCGAAAATTCAGAAAGTTCAACTTGCGCAGTTTTTTACCATACTTTGCTCTATCCGAGGCAAAAATTAATAATATTTGAGGTCTTCTATAAATTAAAAATGTTCTTAGGACTTCTTGCGGCGGCGGTGGTGTAACGGTTAGCGTACTGGACTGTTGTACCCAAGTTGGCGGGTTCAAACCCGATCGAAGCCGTGGATTTTTTAAGGGCGAAAAAATCCTTCATACGCCTTCCTTCGGAGGGGAAGTAAAGCCGGCTGTCCCATGTTCGTAGATTTACTTGCATGTAAAAGATCCTCAAGCCTAAATGACGCCTCTGAGCTAAATTCAAATCGCCTGTTTCTCGCCCAAGAAATACCTTCTTTCTCTGCTATATGAAAGGAGCGTAGCGAAATTTGCGTGGTCAGACGGAAGAGCGGGCCTGATGGCCCGAGTCTCGCCACGTAAAATAAGGCATATTCAATTCAATTCAATTCATGTAGTGTATGGACGGACGGACGGACGTGCCGACCGACGGACCGGCAACAATATTTTAACAAAAAATTATTATGAACGTACTGGAAATACATTCAGTGTTCATCTTTTGGCACATTGTGTATACGATCATTCATTTTTGTTTTCTAATACATCAGACGGTATTGGATGAAACCTAAAACTATGTTAAAACAATTTCTAATAAACTATTTTCATTACGCACCTACAAAAAAAATTTCAAAACTATATCCAATTCTCAAACTTTTATCAGGGTTTATATCCCCTCAGCAATACAATGGATTTCTGGATCTCTTTTTAATTTAAGAAATGCTAGGATTTCTTATTTTCTTCTCTGTTTGAAAAAGGTTAGTTTAGCAAAACTAAGAATATTAGAACATATACTAAAATATCACATAGAAATAAAGATGTATTTATGCATTACTCACCATTTCTATTTTCACTGTCAGCAGGTTTCATTTGGATGGGATGATGCATCTGAAAAAATATGTAATGTATTAATGAATATGCTTTTTTTACTCCCATTGTACCTTACTCTCACTTGATGGCACTCATTACGATAAGATTTCATTATGGTACACGTTCTTGACCAATCGCAGATTAGTTTACAAACAAATTATTGCCAATTAATCATTGAGAATCGTTATAGTAAATGATTAGTTTCATAACTTCGTAAAGTAATTAGTCTTATTTCACTTTGATCCTATGTGACTAGCGCAGTGATAGTGGTAGAGGAAACATTTGTCTGACGTTAAGATCAGAACGCAATTCATTTTGTGTTATATGCTGCTGCCGTCTGTCTGTCCTTAACAATATGCCAATTCTTTAGTTTAAAGAGAATTGAATCAGAGGTTGTGTTGACACCTTCAGAAATAAAAGAAAAAGTGAAAATGGTAACCTCAGAACTATTTCCACAAATTTTCTACTCTCTCGTAGGTGGACTGATAAACCAAAGCCACCTGCGACCGGGTAGGATAGCTGTCCGCTAGGTGACCTTGGCTGAATCCTGCATGTCAACTGCCACGAAACGATTAAATATAATTTTAACTTATAAAAGTCACCATAAGTCGTAAAATTGATAGTGTCTGACGGAGAGAGTGTCTGACGGAGAGAGTGTCTGACGGAGAGAGTGTCTGACGGAGAGAGTG